TATGAGGTAACTTGGCTTATTTATTTTGATTAGTACCATATATTCTACTAGCATTATTAGTTTTAGGCGTATTCAATCCTCTGATTAAATTATGACTGCTAATGGTGTTTTCTATTCTTGCAAGTATTTAAATTGCTTACAACCTGCTGATGCGGAAGTTTCTACTAAACTTGAGAAACAGCGAAATTGTCAGTGGCAACGTATCACACTATATGAGTTGGCTGTTCCTAAGAGTTGTAGTATAAACTGCCACTGCTTGAGAAATACATCTAATTACATGCAGGTTTTAATTATTCAGCTATTATTATTATGTCCCTGGGTCAAAAGTATATACTCCTGCACCTATTTTTGCTGGCTTTTAAACAAATGTGATGCATTTCTTGAAGACAAAGAAGAAATAACGTAAGTGATTGATTTTCACTTCAGGTGAGAAAGCACTGTGTCACGTGATTTACTATCAATCACTAGTCCCCTGGAGATGCTGAACAAAAAGGAACTATTGCACACTAATTTCCACTAAAACTTCTGTCTTTTATATAACCCTGTTGAGAATAAAGCTATTAAAATTATTGTTCAGTGGTTGGATGTACGATGATGGTTGTTCTATAGGAAATATTCTTCGGCATTGCTTAATCATCACTTTCAGACAGCGTTTCAAAGCTTTTGAGAAATAAGCATTTGAAAATAGAAAATGCGGTAGTCTCTTTGCTATGTAATTCATATTTCCGTTTCGTATATCCGTTCTTAATCACTAGACGTTCTGCCTCAAGTCATTTACATCATTTGACTTATTATGGTGCCAGACATTAAGTTCATAAAATAAATTCTTCAAAGGAAATTCCATTAGGTTTGCAAAAAGTGGATAATCATTTATCTGAAGAGGTTTTCTTTTTTGTCTATAACTAGTATCAGAAGTTAGGTAATGATGTCATAATGAAGTGTAACTTTTATGTTAAAATTCTAATGAATCTACTGAATTAGTCGTACACTTAATTACACAATATTATTGTTCATCCTTTGTGTCCAAGTGGAATATAAGGCTTCAGGAGTACATCCTCATTTTACTCTGTTCTCTGCTGTCTTTTTAAACTGGTCCTATCCACATGATCTCCTTTATGTTGCACTAAGACACTCAACCAGCGTTTCCAATTCAGGTTCCACTTGAGCGTCTATCTGACGTTTGATGTCACTTAAAGTTCTCCTCATAGTGTGCCAGATACATCTTCTTTATGTTTGTTGAACAAAAGGTCTTTTGTTGATTCGTTTCCAGAGATCCCTGTTACTAATCCTTTCTGACCGCCTATCCAATCTTTAATGTCGGGTGGTTGAACACCCAGTCAAAAAGAGAAAATGCTGGCTAAATGGTTAGCTATGCTACCTCGATGAATCAGTGCAAAACGCTGATATTTTTGACCAATTAGTGTCAGTCATATTTTATTTTACCGTAATGAACCGAATTCAATACGTCATGGTTTGTAGTTTAAATTACCATTACTTTTGTTTGAATACCACATTAAACTTCGAAATTTTACAACAAAAAAAATTAATTCATGAAATTCTTTATGACATTATGTTTCAACTACTTATGATGTGATAAGTTACAAAAATTAATCGCTCTAAGTTGATATAAAGAAAACAAGTTAATGTTTTACTAGTCACCAGTATTTAGATGCGATTGTTATTTTCATAACACTTAGTGTCCCATTGCAAATCCATCTCATTCAAAACTTAGTTCAGACTAGTCATCAGTCTACTGTAGAAGAATCTGCTTAGTGCTTGGGAACAGCTACTAGGGTAGCTAAATAAAATGAGCCATCAGCAGTTTGATGTTAGACCCCCGTCACCTATTGGGTACCTAATACACTGTCAAGAGCTTTAGGGTAGCGAATATTCTAAACTGCAGAGATCATTGTGATTCGCTCAACAACAACAACAGAAGCTCTGAGTGCTAAAGAGAAGCAGACTCAGTCACTACTTCTGCTACTTTGGCCTGTTTTCGAACCTGTCAACTGGTAAATTCTGTGTTACCTTCCTTAATTTATGCGATATTCAGTTTAGTGCTTCCCTGATGCGTATTATTACTCACAGATGATTCTGAACTGTAATCTGTTGATAATATTAATTCAGCGTTATGTTGTTATTGACATCTGTAGCCAAATAATTGTGTTGGGGAATCCATCTTGAACGATGTTATTATAGTACTGATACTCATCTGGATATTTCAGTTAAATTTGTAAGTATTTTCCTGTTTTTCACCTCAATCATTATTCTAACATTCGCATATCGTCATTTGACTCAATCCTTGTTATTTGTGTCCCACTTCTCATTTAATCTCCAATTTCAATACTTCTCTTTGTTTCCAATGGTTGGTTTGTAAGGATTAATTGTGTTTTTACGAGTTGATCACGGATTGATATCCTTACAAACCAACAATAGAAAATTAATCTGATGCTCAATAGTGACTTGCTACAGGATGGAGTTTCCTGAAGTTTTAGTGAAAAGTCGTGACCTGTGAGGTCCATCCAGTCACGCGTGAGGATGGATGTCCCACCGACGACATTGGTTAGGGTCGCGATAAATTACGAATTGGTAGAAGTTAGAATTCATGGGATGGCGACTGAATTGGGTCCCATTGAGTGGTTGAATAGTATACGAGCTTGCCTTGTAACTGGAAGGTCCTTAGTTCAAACCCTCCACTAGGCTAGGATGAAACAGCTGTCCAGTACTCCAGTGCTGGTTTTCAATGGTTCTCTAACTGATATCAATCCGTGATCAAATCGTAAAAACTTCTCTTTGTGGTTAGTTGTGACGATAATGTATTGTTTTGTTTGGATAGGTCAAGGTGGTTATGATCTTGGACTCTCTTCAGGAATTGTTTGGTGCATGATTCTTGCTGACAGAGTTTTAATCCCACTTTATAGTTGAGAATATTCCACATGATTCTTAGGTACTTCTTACGTTGAATGCTGGTTAACTCATTTTATTTCACAGTACCCAGTTTGTATCCGAGATAGAACTAGATCTGTATAGATGCCCAACGATATTGTTGAGGTAATTTTGACTATCTGATACGTCGTTAGTAAATAGTACCGTAGATTTTATCAGAAATAACTATCTTCTTACTGTCGTCGGTATATTTTTGTAATGTATGTAACTTAAAGAAGTTTCGGTTATCAGTACAGTAGAACGCGAGGGTTGGTTTCTTCAATTCAGAGCTCAGAATGTCAGTTTTGGTCGTTAAAAGGATAAATGTTTAATTATTACAAGTACGTAATTGTAGAACCGGATGAAGGAGCTGTTAAAATGAATATTTTTCATTTAATAATCAGTCTTCTAGAGTTTTGGTGGTCATCTGTCTTATTTCATGCTGTAAAACAAGTGGGATTTTATAAGATTTCATCATGAGCTGACATCCGTTAGAGAATCATTGAAAACCACGTGGGAGTATTGGACAGCGGTTTTGTCCCAGTTTGAGGCTCTTCACGAGTACGCAGCCGCACCATGGGGTTCGAGCCTAGGACCTTCTGGTGACAACGCTAGCTCTTAAGTAGTTACCTAGGGTCCTAGTGAGACGTAGTGACCAGTAGGGTGCAGCAGGTCGAGTGTGAGGACAAATACCCGCCGCAGACACTGGCTAGCGATCGCGCTATGTCGTGAATCGGCAGAAGTTGGATATCATGCACTGGCTATTGTATCGCGTCCCAGTATCCTAATGGTCAACGAGCTCGTCTTGTAACCAGCAGGTCCTGGGTTCGAAACCTGTGATGAAGAGTCCCGAACTAGGATGGAGAAAACAGCTGTCCAGTACGCCCAGTTGCTTTTCCAATGGTTCTCTGACCGATGTCAGTTCATTATGAAATCCTGTAAGGGACTAATCAAAATCCCTACAAACCAACACTTGAAAAGTGTGATTTTAATTTGCCTAAGTTTAGTTGTCAGTTAAATATGTCTAACGCGCATAGGGTTCATGGGCAGGCAACCTCACCAATCAAGGTTCTTCATCTCTGCAGCTGTAGACATAATACCATGGTCTAATGTCAAACCATTAGGTTCATCAATTCTGTGTCACCTACCTTAATTTATCTGATATTCATCTTATTGTTATATTAATGCATATCATCTCCTCTTCTCTTACTGATGCTTTTGAACTGTAATCATCCGACGATATTATTCTTGATTCAATGTAATTTTTATTATTATTATTGCTCCCTTGGGTTCCTAGTGGAACATAGGGCTTCAACTGCACGTCTCCATTAGCTTCTGTCTTCTGCTGTACTTTTCGCCTGCATCCATGTTAATCCATATTCTTTCAACTCCTCTTCAGACGATCTCCTCCATGTCACCCTTGCACTGACGTCCCACACGCCGCTTCCCTTTCGGGTTCCACTCGAGGGCTTGGCGCGCGATGTCACCCAGCGGTCTCCTCAGCGAGTGTCCGATCTATCTCCACTTTCTCCCGCAAATTTGTTGGGCGATTGGTTCTTGTTTTGTTTGTTCCAATAATTCCTTGTTGGTGATTCTTTCCGGCCATCTGATCTTCAGTATAGCCAGCGAAGACAGTTGTTGATAAAGGTCTGCAGCCTTTTGGAAATATTCTTTGTGACCCGCCAAGTTTCTGATCCGTATAGAAGAACTGACTTTACGTTTGTATTGAAAATCCGAATTTTGTTGTTGATGTGCTGAGTGACGAAGATTTCCAGATTGATTTCAGGCTGATGAATGTGTTTCTCGCCTTCCCGATTCTCGATTAATTTAAAACAGCATTATTGTTTTTAATAACAACCATTCTTTGAGTCTTGTGGATATATAACCATCGAGCTTAATAAGGAAATTATTGAAAGAATATTCTTTTTTCAAGAATAAGTCCTTTAGCCATTACAAAAAAACATGAAACAACCAAAATTCGTTCATGTATTCAGCGTACAACGTATAAGAATTTATACACACTTAAAATATTAAATATGGCTATTGACCTTCTGTTGAAATCATTTAAAACTTACTAGTTGTATAGCAGGATATCAGGTATCCAGATATATTCTACAGGTATAGTTACTGAATCAATACCTCCATAATCATTTGGATTCCAAATTAAGTTATGATCAGTCCATTTCTGGATATCAAAAAAGAAAAGAAAATGCAGGTATTACTTTATTTTACGTATATTATGGCTGCAAGGCGAAAATTGTAGACAGGAATTTACGTCAGTGTTACGTCCCGAATAGGAGTCATGAGGAACTCACCAAACAATCACAGCAGACTCGACGTGTGCAAATAGGATTCGCAGATATATGGCCTAACTTTCTGAGAAACAGTCACAAGCAGTAACATTAACCTTCACCAAGAAAAAAACCAATCAGAAGAATTTGCTTCTCCACTGACAATAATGTACATAAAACCAATGAATATCTCTTCATTTTCTCAATAAACGACCTGTTGCCTGGCTCTTGTCTTCTGTCGTTACAATATAACTGTCTTTATAATTCATTTCCTAACACGTTTTTGCTGCCTATTTCAAGGAATTATTGAAGAAAGCCAAACTGACTCGTTGTGGTCCAAACACAGGAAACCGATCTTTGCGTTCTACTGTATAGCTGCACTAAAATGTTATGGGAGATGTACAGTCACAAAACGACTCAAAGAGAACAAAGAAACGATTAGTCGTCGATAGATCTATGTCGTTCTATACAAGAATATTAACATCATAAACTCGAAATTACTTCAACAGGGATGTTAGGCAGTTATACGGACAAGGTAACTTTCCTAAGTACAAAGCAAGTACTGTAGAACAAAATTATTATTATATTTTAATTCCTAGAGAAACATAGGGCTTCAGCCTCACGTCTCCACTGCATTCGGTTCTCGGCTAACGTTTTCACATCTGCCCATATGCTTTCACCTCTTCACATGACCTTCTTGTCACCCTCGGATGACCAACTCTGCGCTTCCTATTCGGGTTCCACTCGAGTGATGGTCTGGCGTGTGATGTCACTCACTTGATGGTCTGTTTTATCAGAGTATGGCCAGTCCACCTCCATTTCTTCTGCCTATTCGTTTCACAATCGGTTCCTGATGGGTTTGTTCTCTCCTAGAGATCCCTGTGGCTGATCTTTTCTGGCCAGCCATCCGATCTTGAGTACTGAGCGAAGACAACTGTTGATGAAGTTCTATAGTTTGTTTGAGGTTCTCTTTATGACGCGCCAAGTCTTTGATCTGCATAGTAAGTAGCACTGACTTCACATTGGAGTTGAAAATCCGGATCTTATTTTTCATATTGAGTGCTGTTTACTTCCACACAGACTAGAGAGTAATGAAAGCTTGTCTTGCTTTCCCGATCCTCCTTTTAACATCCTCGTCAGTTCCACATGCAGTTGAAGCGATACTCCCCAGATAGGTAGATAGGTAAATGAGGTTTTTTCTTTCAGGTTCCTCCCATTTAACAAAAATCAGCCGTAATAATCACTTGAAAATCAAGTAGAATATTTCCACCAATAAGGTGGTTTTAACACTCTGTCATTAAGAATCACACACCAAACGATTCCCATGGATAGACAGTGCAAGGTCAGAATGACATTCACTGACTCAAAATTTTGGTCGTAACACAACACATTATCAATATCATAGAACAGCCTCGAAGAGAAGCATCAGAATTATTGATTAAACAGGGACAAAGTCAGATAATGAAGATCAAATCAACATTTGGTATTTAAATGTAGCCACAATGATATGCAGTGTTGGGAGAAAAGGGTATAATAATCACAAAGATAATTCAAACTTCCATATAAGTATGGACATTTTGATTAGATCGTCAAGGAGGGATTTCTTAAACAATTTTTCCGTTACAGTTATAATGTTGTAACTAGGTTTGTATATAAAGACAATTTTTGTAACCAAAATGGTTAATATCAACTTAAATGAAAACAGGCTTAATAATAATTGAAAATTCACCTGACATTTGTCCGTTTTAGAGGTAATCTAGAGTATATTTCTGCAGATATAAACAGCAATTATACTATACTAGAGTTAAAATTCTGTGTAGACGGCTAATAGTGTCTACTTAAATAAACGAAATTTTCGAATTAGGGTGTCCTAATGCCACTTCGGTGTTATTTATGAAGTGTCGGTTTGCAGAGATTGACTAGCTACAGGTTTCATCATGAATTGAGATTAGTCGGCGAACGACTAGAGAACCAGGGAGTTCTGGACAGCTGTTTCATTCCACTTTGAGACTGTTCATCAGCACACTCACCATGAATTTCGAATCTTGGACCTTCTGGTTAAAATGCGGTCTCGTCAACCACTTAAATCCTAGAATCTGGTTTAGGGATGCATGAATTCCAGCTTCTTTCAATTCTAAATGTCTAAAGCAATTGCCAGTGGGCGTGTACTACTTATGAGTCCGAACTAGGGAAAAATAGCCATCCAGTACTCCCTGATTTTCTAGTTATTCTGTGTCAGATTTCAGTTTGTGGATAAAACTGTGAACAATCAGATCCTTGCAAATTAACACTTGAAAACTAATCGAGTGCTTACCAGCAACTGGTTATATACAGGAAGTTATTTAGAGTTCGAGTGGTGAATCGTAACCAGTGGGATTCAGTACGTCAGGTAAGAGAATACTTACTAGCCTGTGAAATTTGCTGGAGGTGGCGCTGTACATCCTCAATCGACAGAAGCTGGAATTCATGGGATCCATCTGATGAATCTTTAAGATTATGTTTCACTAACATAGCTGTTTGAACAGATGTTTCCGCCGTTTTTTACTTCTTAAACACACTGAAAACGGTATTTAATTGGTTGATACTGACTAGCAGTGGACTCCAGGATAAAGCGCATTTCGTCCTATTTGGGACTCGTCGCCTGGATTATCTGCATTCCCAGTCAGTGAGTGGTGATGTTCCCACCGAGGCTCGAACCCAGTGCCTATAGCTTCAAATGCCAAAGCGTCATCCACTAGACCACTTGGGCCACGAGAGCAACCTTTTGTACAACAGGTCATAGTGGTCTAGTGGATGACGCTTTGGAGTTTGAAACTATGGCACTGGGTTTGAGCCTCGGTGGGAACATCATCACTCACTGACTGGGAATGCAGATGTATCCAGATGACGAGTCTCAAATAGGAGGAAATACGCATCCTGGATTCCACTGCTAGTCAACATCCACCAATTAAATACTGACTAAATGCCTAGACATCGTGGAAGCATCTGCACAACCTGAGACCGAGCTTTTCAGTCCATTCAATCGATGGGAAAATCGAAAATTTAATTAAACATACTGAAAATAGGCCTACACTTTCATAGCTGAATAACACTGACAGTTGTGCTAGTTTATAAATTTTCTCTTAAGGTTTATGAGTACCTCAAAGTAAAACGAAGTTTTACAAAATAAATCCCTTGTAATAAAAAGAAACTTAGCCTAGTATTAGAGTTTGAGGTAAAGATGTGCTACATTTTCCTTAGGAAACTGAAAATATTTATGTCATGGTTATATGAACTTCATGATATCATGCATGGACAGTTGGCTCATTGACTTGTTGTGCACTGAGCCTCTCTACACCTAGCTCAGTCTGAAACCACAGATAATAAGAATTGGTCATAGTCTGGTACCTGAAAGGCATGTTCCAGTTAAGTGATTTGACGGAGTCATGGAAGCAAGAACATAGTGTAATAATTTATACTACTAACAGATTCTGACATTTGTAAATCATTGATATTAACAAGCAGTTATAAAAACAGAGAAAACATCAGTGAGGTGTTTAGGTTATCTCCACCTGACTAGCACATACTACTGATTAATAATGTCAGTGAATTATAATTACTCGTCTTAATAAGTAGGATATGATAACTTCTGTTAGATTACATGTGTATCAGAGATTCATCTAAACTTACGTTTCTAGAATTTGTCGTCTTAATCTTATTTCATCTTGTCAATGGTCTTATATCCACGTTTGTATGTCATCAATTTTGCTAATTTAATTGTTTCTCAGTGTGATGTAGGTCTGTGTTCTTCTCTTGCGGTTCTCTCTATTTAGAAATTATCTCGTTAACTAATCTATTCTATCATTTTTTCCATCAATAATTCATCTACACATCAGAGGAAATGTTGCCACTTCCGACTTACTGACGCGGTGAGTGTTTCTTCTGGTGTAACATATTTCTCCATTTTCATCCGGTTTTAAAAGCAGACAGTAAGCCTCCTCGAGAAAATAACGATAGCTGAAAAAAATTCTCCAGACAATTATGCTATATGTGACCAGTAAAGAAGAAGAAGAAGTGACTGACTTAACATTGATGTTGAAAATCCGAATTCTGTTACTTACGCAGCGGTGAACTCAGAAGATTTCCAGACTGATTTAAGAGTGGTAAAGTTCTGTCTTGCCTTTCCTCTTTTTGGATTTTACATTCTTAGCCATGCCATTCCCCTATTGTTGAAGCCATACTCCATAGATGATAAGTAAAGGAGGTAAACTTTTTCCAATTTATTCCACTTATAATAAGTGGTACTACTTGTTCAAGTTATAAGTTGGATATCCTCATCACCCCTGTCTTCTTTACTTTCTCTTAAAAATCCCATCTTTGGTGTCTGCCTATATCAGAAAAATTATTGATTTTTGTTTGTGAGTCTTTCATTTTGATTGACATCAGAGGCAAATTGTCCGTGTAGTCCATATCTATAGTGTACTTATTGGTTCAATGTATTTCAGTCTTCTTGCTTCCCATACACAGTGTCCTTCCTGCATAATCCACTTGATGACAACAGGAATATTATCAGTGATAGTAGGGCACAGTCTTATTTTACTCCTATCTTCAAAAACTTGAGGATATTGCTACGTTATCAAGAGGGTTGATTATTAATTAGTTAACTGATGGGTTATCATTGATATAAAGATAAAACTTGGCACTGTGGTAGAGTATAATTCCATTATGGATTAGTTGAGTGTCTGACAAACCGAGTAATAGCACTAAGTAGTACAAGAAAAGACCTAATGATGAAGTGAAACAAATAGAAGAAGAGGCGTTGGTGTCATATAACTAACTATCCTATAAAATTCATTTGGATGATCAAATGAGGTTGAAAGCAAAATAAAAATAATGGTGAAACTAATAATGATAA